AAGTGGGTGATCTTATCAATATGATGAACTCAAAGGTGGTTATAGCATCTACTTCCCATGTTGTAGGTCAATATGTAGGGAATAATTCGAGTGAATGTGTGGATAAGGATGTCAGTAAAGAAGGTGTGGAAGCCAATGCTAGCAAAGATGAGTATCAAGTTAGATTTCTTTAGTGACTTCGAGGAATGATGTTGTTGATCAAGGTTTTTTTTTTGTTTTCTTTATTGATAGTGTTCTCCTCCCCTACGTGGTATACTTTGATCTAGTTTGGTAATTGCTCTATGGGATGGATAATAGCTCCTTTTACTTTTATGTTGGGTTGGTTTCATTTTTTGTTTTTATTTTTCTGCTATGGTGTGCTCCCATCCTGGGATGTTTATTTTTGGATGACTCGTTTCAAATTACCCCTTGCCTATTTTTAGGAAATAAGGGGGATAATAGTTTAAATGGTGACATTATCACGATGGTGACATTATGCAAGATAAGTTTAAGCAATGCAAGCTCTAAATCCACATAAAAGGTGTGTTGGTCATTCTACTTATGCATCTGCAACCTTTAAGTTATGTCTGCATGTTATGTCAAATTTTTGTTGCGCTCTGATAATTTATGAATTATGTCATGACTAATGTCTATAACATTTATGTTGTACATCTTGAATGATTGTATTTTCCTAAAAATTGGCTAAAGGGGGAGGTTGTTGTTACATATTATTGGCGTCATTTTAATAGGCAACATGTGAGCAGGATGTTATGAAATTGTGTGGGACGTTCTGTCTCTATGAGCTCAAAACATGGAAACAACGTGTGGAGCAAGATGTTCCAAGATTGTGAGACATTTTTCCTCTCCCAGAAGCCAGTTTGTGTTGAGTGAATCTCTCGCTTTTGAAGATTTGTTTCCTTATTTAATTATTTTATGCACTTTTTGGAATATGGAAGTTTTATGCACCAAGATTAAAAAAGAACAAATCTGATCTGATGAAGATTTATCAAATCATTCAGTGTAAATCAAATTAATGCAAATTTTTTTATCACGTGGGCTTATGGATTGGCTTAGCCGTGTCTAATGATTAAAACCCAAATGCGATTTCCACCTAGACTTTTTTTCTACTTAAGGAGAAGCTCTCCATTGTAAAAGACTCAGACATTGAGAAACAAGCAAGACATGTTTAGCTGTGTTAAGTCTTATGTATATTTTTCATTTTGTGTTATTGAAACTCTATTCTCTAGCCATATTCATATGTTAAGGAATATAGGAATTTTAAATTGTAATTCATTCCATCATTATAAGCTATTGTAGTTGTCCAATCACTTGGGAGAGTGTTTGAGAGAAAGTGAGACGAGTCTCATATTTAATGGGGAGTTCTTAATAGGAATTTACGGGTAGTACTTGGAAAAAAAGGAATTGAACATGGATGATTCAACTAAGATCAATTTTTTACTTTTGGCTATTGAGAGTGGATTTCCTTTCTTAGGTTAACGCCCTCTAGACAAATGTGACTTTGCACCGAACTGAGTTAACAATTTTGTGTGTCATTTTTCTTATCCCTATTAATTTTCTGCTTAAATAAGCATCTTGTCATACAAAATGTTACAACATTGTGTTTGACATCTTTGCATATGAAGAACATAATTTCATGCATTATTAGCATCATTTCTTTATCAGTGTCCAAATCCTTCTCTTCTTCAACCTTGAGAGCTAGACTCTTCTTCTTCTTATGTCATTCTTCATCATTAGCATGTATTTTTAGTTCTATCCCATGTTCCTGAAATTTTCTAATAAAGTTGCCATGTCCATGGTTGATAAAGCCCTAGATTCATAAATTGCAATGACTCCTGCTTTCCAAATTCAGTTTAGGTATCTAAGGATTTTTACAACTAAGTTCTCATTTCGAAAAGTTTTCCCAAGAGTTCTTTTGTGACTCACGATATAAGTGAATCACTTTTGCATGTCATAAATGTTATCTCCAAGTTTCATTTTGCAGAGCTCATACTCATGGGCTAATGTGTTTAACCTCGACCTCTTTATCTCAGTAATACCTTCATGGGTAACTTCGAGAGTATCTCACATTTCTTTTCATTTTCACTGTGAGAAACACACAAAAAACTCATCAAGACTCACAGTGATAGTGATGATTAATTTAGATTTTAGATTGCACTACAACTTTTTTTTCCTCTTTGGTCCAATCACCTTCATTATCTTTGTTCACCATAATACCATTGAATTCAAGTGTAGGAGCAAATTGAAATTCTTTCATAGCCTTTCAAATACCAAGATCCATACTCTCAATGAAGATTTTCATCTTCTCTTTCCATAAACCATACCCTTCTCCATTAAAGGAAGGATAAGGGTTCATTTAGTGAATTTCCTGAATTCATTTCCTTCTTCATGGGATGATTAATAAAAAGTAAAGAGAGAGAGAGAGAGAGAGAGAGAGAGAGAGAGAGAGAGAGAGAGAGGGAGAGATTTTAGAGAGATTGCACCAAGATTTATAGAGGTTTGTTAGATCTCTTGGCCCATTTCTCTCCTCAAGAAATTATTTTTGAGAGTTCTAGTAAAATAATATCTTTAAGCTTTTACTAGATTATGCCCAAGGACCTTTATAAAAACGATAGAGAGATTTTAACAAGTTGATCCCTCAAACTAAGTGGATCTTTTAATAGGATAAGCTCACAAACCAAGAATTAGATTTTGATCAGCTAATCTCTGAAATCAAACATATGTTTTACCAGGATAACCTTAACAACTAAACAAGAGAAATATTTCAAGAGAATTTCAGTATTGATAAATATAGTTGAGCACCATTACAACTAAAATCTCACAAGCGTATTTCACTCAAAAAGGCACACTAAGATAACTTTTGGTGAAATATGATAAAAGAGAGACATGTTAGAATAAGAAAAGGATTATTAAAATTCAAAATATGGTGTAAATGAAAGTGAGGAGACACCCTTCTTATATAAGAGAAAATATAGCTCAAAAAGAAAAATAACCAATAGATTTTTAATGCTCATAATCAATTATGTAATTCAAATTTGGAAAGTTTTCAAATTGCATTGTCACTAATTGATTATAAGGCCAAATAATCGATTATAAGGCATTACAGAAGAGATAATGGACTTACCCTAAGTAATCAATGATCTAGTCTAAATATCACTCGTAAAGGATTTGAACTAGAAATTAACTAATTACTTACGTAAAACATTTTCTGGTGGTTTTCGCGAAATAAAAGGGTCCTTAAAATCATTTGGTGAGTGTGTACCTTAGTATTTTATGAGTTACTCTAGCCCTTTTACAATACTGTGGTCACTTAGACATTGCGCTAAACGCACAAACGACCATGTGAACTTTCACACTTCCTCTCTTTCACAACTTTGAAGCTTCAAGTTCCTTGCTACATTATCTTTTATTTTAGCTATTCCCTGGAACCTTGAACCTTCTCCCTGACAAGGCTTGACATAACTTTAGGATGAAAATCATCATTAGAGATAGTTGAAAAGATAACATTTAGGATCACCATGATCAAGCGAAGGATAAATCAGCAGGATTACACTAAATATCAGAGTATCAAAATTATCATCAAAACCACATAGATCCGCATCTTTCACCATCTTGTTATTCCAAACTTCACACATGTTTTTGTTATGTTATTCAACTTAGGTAAATAAATGAAATATGTTTTCATACATGTTATTTTATCAATGTTGATGAGATAACTCCATGCTTTTTCATTAAGTGACTTCAATATGTCCATATAAGCAACTAGTATATGTTTTAGATCGAGTGTTTTAATCTTATAAGTGTAATTACTGTTATTCCATGAACAAAAGGCAACCCATGAGCATTCCTCAATATGGCAAATAGCCCTAGACCTTACCTTATCATTCTTTTACCAATTAATTTCTCTTCCAAGAGCAATGCTCATATCTTTCACAACATTCTTAAAATCCTTTAGTTTTATAAACTTTATCCCATCTTTTAGGCTAACTTCACCAAAAATAACATTAGAGTTAAAAACAAGAAACTTAAACTTTGATATTCCCTTATCGTTTGTGGATTATGGATTCCTCATATGCTCATAATATAATGCATAGCCAATAGATTCAAATGAAGCTTTGTCACTATCTTCCCCATTTCACTCAACCAACTTTCCAACAATCTTTCCTTGGTTTATATTAACATCATCATCATCATCCCTTTCACTATCTAAATCAAAGTCATCACTATCAGAGTCACTTTCAAAATCACTTACAAATGCTTTTGCTCATCAACATTGTCAAACTACAACACAACGACACAACAAAATCACAATAAATTAGAAGAAATACACACAAATCCAAAACTAAATTACATCCTCCCTCGACAGAAAACAAGCGAAATCGGCCCAGAACTAAACAACACATATTTTTGTTGGCTTTGGCAAAATATTTGTACACTGATGACTTTGGCAAAAAAATTGAACGACATATCCATATAACTTTATGTTAAAAACGAGATTAAAAAAGTGGAACACAATACGCATATATGCCATCATTAATTTGGTATGAAAGAACTATTAAACCATATTAATATTCAATTAAATCATTCTACAATATACAATACTCTTGAAGCTAAGTTTATAATATAAACGAAACTTATCTTTGTCTTCGTCTCCAATTGAATTGGTTGTCGTCATTCTTGATGATGATCTCGTTGATTATGAGTTAAACCACTTTCTTTTATTGCAAAATTGAGTTAAAACCTTGGAACCTTAAAACCACTTTCTTTTATTCCATAACCCACAATTTAAATTGCACTACACAACACAATACAAGTACATACATACACATTCTTCTGACTCATACATCTTTCACTTGTGGGCCCATTCCCATGACCTTCCATTTTAGTTTCACACTTTCCCAACATATATATTCTCACATATTACACCTTCCATTCATTTAAATTACATTTCTTTAATTTTGAACTTCCCTTCTCAAATTCACCTTCTTCCTAAAGTCTCAAAAATGAATAGAAATGGATATAAGGATGAAAAATCATGTTGCTATTTCCATCCAAAACAACTAGTTGTTGGTGTATGCCCTTTATGCTTGAACGAAAGACTTCTTCTACTGGTGGCAAAACAAGGGCGGCGCCACCATCAGAACCACCGTTCTTCCTCCAAAAAAGGTGGTAACTCACAAAAACCACCCAACTCTTCTTCTATTCACAAGATCTTTGCTTTTGGTTCTCTCTTCACTCGCCTTGAATCTCGCCAATGCAAATCCCATACCAACAATCACTATGAATATGATGATCTCTCTCCAAGTCCAGAAGGTACCATAAGTTATATCAATATTTGTATTATTATTTTTACTCTAATTTGAATGATTAATCTATACAATTATTTTTACAATTAAATAGATTTATATAAGAATTTTATCCGATATCAGATTATTAAAATGGATTAAAATGAAAATAGAAAAAATAAAAGATTTTTTATTTTATTTTCATGGTTAGGTGAAAGGAAGGATTTGGTGTCCATTAATTTCTTTGATGATTGAAAAAGAATCATGAATTATTATGAATGCATGTTTGTGTGTCTTCATGTGGAAGATTAGATTACAATGATGACGAAATTAAGGTCAAAAAGAGTTTTTAGTTGGGTCATTGTTTTCTAATTGGCAATACCATTATTAATTATTATTATTACTATGACACAGAAAAATTATATTGCAAGTTTGTGGTCTATGGATTTGGTAGGGAGTTAGGGTACACAACTAATTTGGCAAAATGTCATTCATGTTTATCATAAAAAAGTATAAGGTTCCATTATTAAAAAGATATATCTATTTGTTTTTACTTTTATCTCCTTGTGTCACCTCTAATCTACAGTACTATATGATAAAAGAAATTGTTAAATTTCATTAAATTCGTCGGCAGCATAGTAATTACACAGAATAAATAGATACGTAGTAATTAATTTTTGATAGAAACTGAGTAATTGATATTGTTTGATTAATAGGGTGGCAAATGCACATATACATATATCCCTCTATTTATATCTTTTCAGCAAAAATCTGCAAAATAATAAAATTAGATAAAATAAATATATTTAAGGATGTGAGTCTAAAATTTTAATTATTCTACGAAAAAATAAAGTAGAACGGGACAGAAATATTAAAAGGTAATAATTTAAAACCTTAATCTATCTTGAAAAAAATACAAATAAAACAGACATATGTCCGACGGACCGACTATGTTTTATCACCCATAGTTAAACGTCATTCTCGGAGTTGGAATCTTAAATTTTACACTCTGGATATAAGTTTCTAAAGATTATTGTAGATAAAAAAAAAAAGTAAAGTAAAAAATATTTCATTCTTTTTTGAGCTTTTTTGGGAGGAAATTTCACTACATTTTGGTATGATTCTTTAGTACCTAGGAATGAGAAATGGGAATGACTTTAAAAAAACTTTTGCAGAAGAGGCATTCATATCAATCAAGTTTGAAGAAAATGGGGTAGCCTCGTGGGAAAAGAGCAGTGTCTCAAAGGTGACCCTAGAGAATTGCAATAACAACAAGAACAAATTAGAGACCAAGAGTGTGATAGAGCATGGAAAGTCACGTGACATATTCAGGTGGCGAAAGAGAATTGGTCACATGTTCCAGCTCATAAGGTGGAAAAAATCTGCTGGTGTTTGCCACGTAAGCAACAAGGTTGAAGGAGGAACAGTTAAAGTCAGAAAAAGTTGGATCAAGACTCTGACAAAGAGGAAGAAGAAGAACAAGACCATGGAATAATAATTAAAGTAGTTGTAGTACCCTTAAAGAAAACTCACACCAATATTCAACATTCAACATCATTATTACTATCATTATTTGTTTCTGTCCTTACTCACTTCTGGACGTTTTGAATGTGCCGTGATGAGTTTGACAAAATCGTGTCGATGTTTTGAAAAGCTGGTATGTGTGCGATGAATTTGACGAAGTCGTCCTGATAATAAATATAGAATTTCTATATTAAGATTTTGAAAAGCTGGTATGTGTAGTTTTTGTACCACTAATATTTTACCAAACATGTATTTGATGACATTGAAATGCAGTGTAACTAAAGTTATATTGATACTATTATTTATATTGACATTTATGGTACAGTCAAAGATGGTTTTGTTGCTTTTTATGAACAAAAGAAATAAAAATAACTTTGTTAATATCTCAAAAATGTGCTTTAGAATACCTAAAAAAAGTGAAAAGAAAAAGAAAAGACTATGCTTTGCAATTTGCATGCTTTGAGTACTTGGAGGAATGAGGTTCTTTTTTGTAATTTATATTTTATTTTTATGACTTCTTCATAAAAATAAAGTACAGGCTGTAAAAAGTTTAGTTGAAATTAAATAAAGTATTATACCTTGAAGGCACTGCCAAAAACTGTGCATGTTAGGTTTTGTGGTAGTGGGAAACAATGAAGCAAAAGGGTCCCTATTGCATAATGCTACAGAGCCTGTCTTATAGTTGTCACAGTGGGAGAATGTTTTGTTTCCAATTTACAAAATTAGCATACAATTTGGTTTTGAAAACGTGTTAACAAGTTTAAGGAAAAACAGAGGTTAATGATTATTTGTTCAATAATTATGAAATTCCAATTATATGCTTCATGTGTGGCTGTTTGATTATGACTTTTGTAATTTGGCTAATGGATTTTTATTAGTGTCCTACACATGGCCATTTGCTCAAACACAAAAATTCACATGTCATTTTGTCCTTAAGTTATGGACGGTTTTTGAGGGTAGGGACAAGTTAGCCACATCAGGACCACAGTGAAAGGTGCTTATAGATGAAAGTTTTATTCGGAAAATAGTCTAAAATGATTAGATATAATAGAATCTCTAACTAACAAAAGTTAACAAGTGCATTAGACGAGGGATATGGTATGAAGAAAATGTGGCACCATTTGAGTCATGAATTTTAGTGTATGATTGAGAATTTTAAAGAGTGTGAAGCTACAAGGGTCCCGGCCCAAACTAGGCATTAGTAGCTTAGGTGGACTCCGGCCCAAACAAGAATGAGTTAGGTAGACTTAAGGTGAGAATAGGTGCGGTGGCGAATTAAATTTTATTAAATTTGAGTCTGAATTATTAAAAAATTTAAAATCTATATCTTATATGTAGTTTATCATAAATTTATTTTTATATTTGAGTTTGATATTTTTAAAGTTTTGATTTGTTTATTAATCTACTTAAAAGTTTATTTTATTTAAATTTTTGTAAATAAAAAAAGTTAACTAATGTTAAATAGACAACTAAATGTTTCCTTTCATTGACTCATTTAAATTTATCAATTATCATAAGTTTTGTGATACTATTTATTTGAGAAAATTTATAAAAATAATTTAGGAGAATAACTGACGATATCTTTTACAAGGTTGTTTCAACTTATTTTCATAGATTTTTCAAGATGATTAAATTTTATTTTTGTATTTTAATTTAAAGTACAAAATACAATATAATAATTGATCTCATCTGGTAAGAAAGGAATCAACAATCTGCCACGCGTCGTGAGCTCCTGTGTTCATCGGTGTTGTAGAGGAGGAGGGGGTGTACCTGCAAGGTACTCTGATGCTTAAGTGAGTAGCGGAGTTAGAAAGCGCAAGTACAGAGAGAATAGGTATAGAGAATAGAATACCTAACCCTCTAATGAAATAGGGTATTTATAATGTGCCCCCAGTGCAGGGTCAACGGTTACATTGTATTAGGTTGGATTACCAGGCCCAACACAAGTAACTGACAGGGCTTACGTGGTGTAGGAAAGACCAGCACACGATCTTCATCCTGGATCAACTGCTCCGTGATCTTTAGAATGTGGGTTGACCGGTTTTTTCGAAAGTGGATAGTTGTCTGATGACGTATCCCCGCGTCGAGGGCACGTGGAGAACACAGGGCTCCGCGTCGGCCAAATATCTGGAACCTATTGCTTCGCACCGAATAAAAGTCCAATAGCACGACACCCATTAACTAGCTCACTCCGTCAAACCCAAGTATAAATATCTTTGTAAAGGATTTTAAGGTACACAATCTCTAATCTCCATTTTCACTTCCACTATCTTAAACCATAAACTTACTTAGGTGTTGGACTGCTAACCATGCAGGTACCCCTTAGGTCCATCGTATTAGAGATAACAACATCGATTAACGACACCACATCAAGACTGATCTTTCTGGTTCAAGAAACACTCTGATCGCAACCTTCAATCCAAGATGTCGTATCAATGTAGTGCATCTGAAGTTTCGTTTCACCGTAGTTTCTTCAATCATCATCATTTTTGGTTCCACAACGGAATACCTTTTTAGCTAAATAAGTTTATAAAAAAAAACCCCGACGTTTTCTATTTAAAAATAAATATGCCCAAATCTAAATCTGTCTAGACTAGACTGTAGACCTTGTTAATTAGTCGGTCTATTATGACCCTTGAATAAACTTAAATACTTGCAATTAAAGAACTATTTGAATTAAACTCATTTATAAAATAAAAATATAAAGCATTTCTATTAAAACGAGGAAGATTAAATTTGTCTCTAATCAGAAAATTACTACATCCATCTCAATTTATAAGTGTTTTGAAAAAAAAAATTTATAAGTTGCTTTTATAATTCTAATAAAAATTAGTTTATTTTTCTATCAAATTATCTATTATTTATTACTTTTTTCTTTTCATTTATTTTGGTTTTTATTTTCAATTTTATTAAAGGTGGATAATTTTTGTAAATTTTCTCATAGTTAATCTATTCCATACAAAATTAACCACTTTATCTAATCTGTATGAAATATGCATTTTTTTGGTTGTATTTTCAATTTTATTAATGGTGGATAATTTTTGTAAATTTTCTCATAGTTAATCTTTTCCATACAAAATTAACCACTTTATCTAATCTGTATGAAATAATCAAAAACATCATATAATTTAAAACAAATGGAACAATAAAAAGAGCATCTAAGAACAAAGCAACTGCATAATATGAATGTATGATTGGATGCTCCACTCACATTCATTGTGACTTGAATTTAGCTTTAAATTTGTTTGGATGGTAAATTATAGGATGTTTATGGATTCGGATGACCCGTTCAACTCGATTGTTTGTTCTGTACATTCACATTGTATTAATAATCAAAATATATTTATTTATACATCACTAGTTGGTATTACAATTACTAACTAGACCGAAAATAACTTAACTAACTTACGCACCTAATTATTTATAACATAAGTAACTCACTATAACTTTTTTTAGTGATTAAATAATATAATATAAAATGTTAAAACCTACCGAAAATACATGAAAACAGAGGTTTAAGAAATGTCAAATTAAGAAACAATTATCAGAAAAACAACAACAAAATAGAGAAAAGTACAAAAAAAACAACCACAACCACAACTAGCAAATGAAAAATAACAAAGAGAAATCACACCAACTACCCAACAATATGCCACCTCAACAGAACCAAGCTAGATCTCATACCAGCGATCTACTAAAAGTAAAACTAGGGCCTCAAAAAGCAACACCAACCACAAAAATCGGGGAGGCAAACCAAGAATCTCGATCCACTATTGGATCAGACACATGATAGGATTCTGAAGTCAATCATTGAAAGATAAAGAGTCCAGCTGGGATTTATGACAGACTTAGTCCAAGCAAAAAATATTTATCATCCAACTCTTTCGCATTAGATGATACATTAGTGAAAAACTTATCATTACGAGCCAACCAAATAGTCCACACCACAACATGCAAAATCAGAATAAATTTACCCATCATCTTAGCCCTAAGATGTAATGAGAGAAAAAAAAACTCAAAGATAAGACAAAGATTTCTAGGAAGAGCAAAATGAACCCCTAACCACACAAAAATCTTATACCAGACACTAGCAATCATTCTACAAGTCACAAACAAATGAGATGCTGACTCTACATGATCACCACACAAAGTCCCGCCAAGATTAGTAACAATATTCCTCTTAAATAGATTTTCTTTAGAAGAAAATCTATCTCGTAAAAGTAGCAAAGAGAAAGCTTGCACCTTATATGGGGCCCAGTTATCCCAAATAACAAAAAGGTTTGAGAGCAGAAAATGAACACTCCTAACAGGTGAAAAGCTACTCCCAACAAGGGCATGGTAAACAAAGGCCACAATGAAGGAGTCATCTCTAGAATGACTTCACCTTTATGTATCATGCTCGCAGACAAACAATCATACTAAAGAGAAGAGAAAAACTCAACGACAAGAGGTTTTTTGCAACAACAAAAATGAAGAACATCTCCATCTAGGATCCTAAGTTACAGACCCCTAATCTAACTTACCTACCTCAAATGCATGCCCATCTTGAATTTTGGAGATGAGGAAAAGTCTATGAAATTTATCCTTAAAGGGAGTCCTACGAAGCCAAGGATCTTTCCAAAAGAAGGTCAAACAACTCGATCCAACCATCTTACACTTCAACATTATCTCTTATTTCAAAGTTTATTCACTAATTACACTGAGCATACTTTTTATCTCTTTGAATTTTTAATCTTGAGAGGCTTAGTTAGAACAATTTCTACATGATGCCTTATTCTATAGTATTTTAACGTAATCTTGCCCTTGCTTACTTGATGTTTAAGAAAGTGAAATTGGTTTCAATGGGTTTGCTTCTTCCATGGTATATGTGATTCTTTGCAAGATTGATCATAAAGACTCTAACAATTCAAGTGAATTTGTTAATAACTTTAAACACACAAGGAAGTTTGATGTGTGGGATAAAGAACAATG